GTGGGTGATCATGTCTTTCTGAAGATATCACCTAGACGGGGTTTGATGAGGTTTGGGAAGAGTGGGAAGTTGTCCCCTCGGTTCATTGGTCCGTTTGAGATCCTTGAGAGGATTGGCGAGGCTGCTTATCGTTTAGCTTTACCGCCGCAGCTGTCCGGAGTACATGACGTTTTTCATGTGAGTATGCTTCGGAAGTATGAGCCGGATCCATCACATGTGTTGGATTGGACCGATTTAGTGGTTGATGAGAATATCTCATATGAGGAGAGACCGATTCGAGTCTTGGATAGGCGGGATCAAGTTTTGCGAGGCAAAACCATCCCTTTGGTCAAAGTTTTGTGGAAACATCACGGAGTAGAGGAAGCCACTTGGGAACGTGAATTAGAAGTCCGTGAGAAATATCCGGACATGTTGGTTGATTTGTAATCTTATGATTAGATTCTGTTATATTGTTGAACTTAAGAGCTTTATATATGTCTTAAGTTATAAAACCTTGAGTTTGTGTTGGTAAATGGGTGTATCTTAAAATTTGCTTCATTATAGAAGTTTAGTGTAATATTGCATCTGTTGAGTACATTGTTGAATGGGTTGTTTATATCATGCGATTGAATATGATATAGGAATTGTTAACATTGCAAGGGATAATGCATAATAATGATACAGGTTGATATATAGGTTGTGATTATATATTTAATGTGAGATGCCTCTTGATTAAGAGATGCAATAATCAGTTTTGGGTCAAGATGTTTACTAACAAATTGTAAAAAAAAAAATCTGTTTTTTTAAAAAACTTATGCTTAATTTCGGGGACGAAATTCTTTGAAGGGGGGGAGGTTATAGCGACCCCGGTCTTCTCCTATTTGATTATTGTATCCGGACTTAGGTTCCGTAGATTCTGTCATTGTATAATTGTTGTTGTTGTTGTCCCTTATTTTCACATTTGGAATTATAGGATGTGTTTGGGCAGGTTTGTTTCAGGTTGGTAGGGTTTAGAAACCAAGTGTTGCTGTCCAGAATTTTGGATCTTCGCTCGAGCAAGGAGTTTGTCGCTCGAGCGAGATGTTGCGTCTGATTTGGACCTGTAGCTGTGCATTCTTGGCTCGAGCGAGCTTTTCTTCGCTCGAGCGAGTTAGTTCGTTCTTCGCTCGAGCAATAGTTCCTTCGCTCGAGCGTGTGTCTGGTTACAGACCTGAGGGTTTGAGTTCTTCGCTCGATCGAGTTTTCTTTCGCTCGAGCGAGCTTTTGGGTTGTTGGCTCGAGCAAGGCTTCCTTGGCTCGAGCGTAGATTCTCTGTGTCTGGTCGCTCGAGCGACCAAGTCTTCGCGCGGGCGAGCCTGTCCAGTTTATATACACAGCAGCGGGTTTTGATCAGTCTTTTTCATATTTCCGGGAGTGGGAGATGTTGGGTGCACTTGGGGAGTTTGATTTATTTCTGGGCGAATCCGTTGAGGCTGCGGCCTTGTTTTCTGTAGTAGGTCCAGTTTCTATCTTTTACTTTCTTCAGGAATATGATCAATTTATATAATTTATGGGCT